ACTAAACAATTAATAAATTAATAAATTAATTTTTTACTTTTAATATATATTTATAATAAAAAATATATTTATTATATTTTTAAATTACACCTTAATGTACAAATTTTAAAAAAATAATAACATTAAATAATACGTTCCACAAAAGTGAACATCTGGACATGAGCCATTTCATCTACCGTCGTTAGTGTCTTTTGACTTTCTATTATCTCCTTTGTTAGATACTCTTTTGTTTCAAAATAAATGTTATTTTTTTTAAATTTTTTATTAAGAAATTGGGATAATTTTTATATTTATTTATATTATTTTAAAAAAATAAAAGATAAAGATATATTTTTGTGATAAGATTATTAATTACAATAAATAAATAAAGATAGAGTTAAAGAAAGAAAAAAATTTGTCTAACAACTCCTGCAAGTTAGCATTGTTAACAATTAAATCCTCAATATATCATTTGCTATCAATTGGGTCTCTATGATTTCAAGACAATTTTTTTATGACTTTTTCAAATAAGTCCAGGATTATAATTTTATAATTAATAATTAATTATAAAATTATAATTCCATAAAAATTGTTTTGACATACTACTTTTATTCACATTTTAATAAAATTAAAAAAAAAAAAAACAAAAAGTTACATTACCCTAACGAAGTAACGATTGTTAATGGAATTGATCATAAATGCTCACTTTTCATATATTTAATGTTTTATTCGACACTAAATAAATAAAAATATCCAAAAAGATTTATTTGACATTCAACCATAAATGAAATTATTTCTCTTGTACCACTTGATTTTTATCGTTTTGCACATCTGCTATTAATGTTTTGGGACCAAAGTCATATGCTCAAAGGGAAATCACGCGCCTTCATATGTTGCATGCACTCTTTAGCAACTTGGGACAATGAATTGTAGGAGGAACCACCCTCGTTCAATGCTTTCTCAGCACTAAATTTTAGCTCCTTCATTTTCTTCCTCATTGCACGCCCCTTTTCATCTACCATGATCTCCCTCACCAATTCCTCTATCTCCTCCCTCCCCACCACTCTGCTCTCACTAGGTGGCTGCTTCGGTCGAATAGCCACCCCAACATCCTCCGCTAACATGGCAGCATTCATTTTTTGCTCGGCGTAGAGCGGCCACGCAATCATTGGCACACCATTGATTATGCTCTCCATTGTTGAATTCCATCCACAGTGTGACAAAAATCCACCTACTGAAGGATGGTTCAGGATGTGGTCTTGTGGAGCCCACATAGGAACCACCATTCCCGTGTCACGGGTTCGAGTTACAAACCCGTCAGGCAAGTAGTCCAAGTCGAAATCTGAACCCTGTCCGATTGTGAAATATGTCCCGCTTTTATCACTATCTGAGGGAGGGCGAATCACCCAAACAAATCTTTGTCCGCTCAGTTCCAAACCCCAAGCCAACTCCGTCATCTGTTTAGCTGACATGGTGCCTCCACTCCCAAAGGAAACATAAATCACAGATTCCACAGGTTGCCCATCTAACCAATCTATCACTGGATCTGGATGTGTTGAAATATCTGACCTAATAACCTGTCTAACCAATGGACCAACTGGATAAACAGTGCCCTTAATAGCCTGGCCCAAAAGTTTGGCATTTCTAAGTGCTTCAATTGTAGAGGATTCAATACCCTCCCATGAGTTCAGCAAGATGCCATCAGCCTTTGAAAACGCAATCCCCAGTTGGATAAATTCAGGATGATTCCCATATTCAAAGACATCGATTGTGTCTTCGAATCGAAGCGGGTTACAACCGGGAATTTCCAGTGGTTTGTGTTCCTTAACATGTTCCTCTATTTGCTCTTTAGGAGCAATTGGTGTATATATTGTCACAGCAAGGAACCGTGCAGTGCTAGTATTGAAAATGTACCGTAGCATTCCAAATTCCTCAGCTATGGCGAAAGCATCAGGTCCAAACAAGTCCACGATCAACATTTCTGGGGGAGATTTCATGGAGTAGATGGCTGAGCGGAGGAGGGGCAGAGACTTATTCATGATCATTAACAATTTGGCTCCTAGTGATGCGTCGAGACCGACTATGCCGGAGACATCGATTGGTGGGAACGAGACAATATCGAGATCGTCAAGAGTTTGTGAATTGAGAAGTGCTGTTGAGGCTTCATCGCCAACAATAAAGATGGTAACACAAAATCCATGGTGTCTAACCATGCATTTCCCAAGCTCAACAATAGGAATGATATGTCCCATGCCTGGGCTTGCGAGCAAGGCAGCATGGGGTTTCATGTCTTTCATGGCAGTGGGGATAAGATCTATGTTGGTACTATGCTAGCAATACACATGGTTAGCCAATCTTGGCATATATTTACATATAAAAAACATTAATTAGTTTCCATATGTTCGGCTCATTTCTCGGATTTTCTTAGCAAAACTGAAAACATTTGATTTAATTTAACAAATAATTTATTAACTATTGATTTTTTTTTATTTTAATCTGAACTTTTATTTTTTCCTAAAGTCGTCCATTAACTCTTAAAACTGTATCTATTTTATCTAACTATTACAACTCTATTAGTCAACTTGCTCACACGGCACCATGTAAGTTGCCAAGTAAGTGCCACACGACCAGAAAAGGAAGAGAAATTCTCATTTGTCCAAGGACATTGTTTTTTGAAATGAGAAAAAAAAATTCAAAAAGAAGTTCGGTGTTTTTTCATACATTAGTTACTTAAATGCTTGAATTTTTTAAAAAATTGCAATACGTAGATAAAATTAATACAATTCTAAAAATTAATATATGAATTTAAAAAATAAAAAAAAATTAAACGAAATAAAAAAAAGTCAGTAGTTTATAAACAATTTATTAAATTAAGCCAGAAACATTTTGATTGGTAATCAAATCTACAATGATTTCATAAAGAACAGTGTTTTTTGAAAAGAGAAAATTTTCAAAAAGAAGTTCGGTATTTTTTCATACATTATTTATTTAAACGCTTGCATTATTTTTTTCAAAATTTTCCCACCTTGTTGGCCATGTGTTGCTTACTAGGCGGTCTACGTGACATTAACTTCCATCAATCTCACTTACAAAATTGTGATACATAGACGAAATTAAATATAATTTTAAAAGTTAATAAATAAATTAAAAAAAACTTTTAAACAAAAATAGAAAGAGATTACTTAATTGA